AAGGCCCTGCACTTGATTTAATGCTCTGCTATCCAGTCTCAAAATTTTACTAGTTTTTTTTGTTTTGTTTTGTTTTTTTAACAAGGGACCGACATTTTCATTCTACCCTGGGTCCCACAATGTCTGCGGCCAGCCCCACGTGTGGAGAGGTGGGGCCGAGGTCTGCCTCAAAGCTGCCTTTCTCCCCTGGGTGCTGCGTTCCGGTTCCGGCGTGCTAAGAGTCAGAGCTTCCAGGCTGCGTCTGGCATCAGAGGCCTGGCCGCTCCCTGGGAAACATGAGGAGCCCAGTTCCCGGTGGTGAGGGAGGCAGGATGCTTCGGGCCTCCAGAGAGCGAGCGAGACAAGGCTGTTGGAGCCAGCCCAGCCCCGTGTAACCGGAACCCCAGGTGGATCTAACGCCATGTCTCAGCCGTCACTCCGGGAGCTCAGCAGGGCCTTCCTTCCAAGCAGGCTGCAGCTCCAGGGCCCGGAGGCCTACCGCAGACTCACTGTGTGACTTGGATAGTAACACCCCCTTTCTGAACGTTAGTTTTCCAGTATGAAAGATGATAGTGACAGCACCTACCCCACAGGGTTCTGAGGAAGATTACGAGATACATGGACATAATGACTAGCACTAAGAAAGTGATCAGAGAACCCAGAAATCGACCCAAGCCATTATGCTCAATTATAATAATATTTGACAAAGGAGAAAAGAGCATACATGGAGTCAAGACAGTCTCTTCAATAAATGGTGTTGGTAACACTGGATGAATACATGAAAAAAAAAAAAAGAAAGAAAGAAACTAGACCACCAACTTACATCATACATAAAAATAAACTCAAACTGGATAAAGGACTTAAATGTAAGGCGAGAAACCATAACAATCTTAGAAGAAGCCATAGGCAGCAAAGTAGCAGACATTTGTCGAAGCAATATCTTTACTGATACAGATCCTAGGGCAATGGAAACTAAGGAGAAAGTGAACAAATGGGAGTACATCAAAATAAAATGTTTTGCACAGCAAAAGAAACCATCCACAAAACAACACGAAAGCCCACTGCATGGGAGAACATATTCGCCAATGTTATCTCCACAATTTATAGGGAACTCATACAACTTAACAAAAGGAAGATAAGTAATCTAATCAGAAAATTAGCAAAGGACCTAAACAGATACTTCGAAAGAGGACGTATGAAGGCCAACAGACATATGAAAACATGCTCAAAGTCACTAATTATCTGAGAGATACAAATAAAAACAACAATGTGGTACCATCTCACAACTGTCAGAATGGCTCAACAACAAATCAAAAAGGACAGGTGCTGGAGAGGATGTGGAGAAAAAGGAACTCTCCTGCACTGCTGGTGGGAATGCAGACTGGTGCAGCCACAGTGGAAAACAGTATGGCGTTTCCTCAAAAAATTAAAAACGGAACTTTCATTTGACCCAGTGATCCCACTTCTAGGAATATAGCCCAAGAAAACAGAAACCCCAATCAGAAAGGATATATGCACCCCTATGTTCACAGCAGCACAATTTACAATAGCTAAGATTTGGAAACAGCCTTAAGTGCCCATCAGCAGATGAGTGGATTAAAAACTCTGGCATATCTCTACAATGGAATACTATGCTGCTATAAAAAGAAAGGAACTCTTACCATTTGCAACAGCATGGATGGAGATGGAGAACATTATGCTAAGCAAAATAAGACAGTCAGAGAAAGATAAATATCACATGATATCTCTCATTTGTGGAATACAATGAATAACGTAAATTGATGAACAAAAATAGAACCAGAGTCATAGAAGCATCGAACAGGCTGTCCAACCTATGAGGGAAGGCGGGAGGTGAGGGGGTAAGAGATCAACCAAAGGACTTGTACGCATGCACATGAGCATAACCAATGGACATAGACAAGGGTTTGGGGGGGCATGTGCTGGGGGGTGGGGGCAGCTGGGGAAAGGTCAATGCGAGGAGAAAGGAGACTTATGTAATACATTAAACAATAAAAAATTTAAATTTAAAAAAATTAAAAATATATAATTTTTTTTTTAACATTACAGTTCAAGAAATAAGAAGATGATAACAAGATAGAGTTCTTAATCTAGATATTCATGGAGGCTGGCCAGGTAGGCGACAGGGACCATGCCAGGTGCTGTGACTATGAACAGGATGGACCCTAGGCCTGTGCTCAAGGAGATCCCCATTAGAGGGAGATAGACATCAACCGTGACAGCAGTGTGGTAAGTGTTGTGACAGAGGGTCACCTGATGGGGCACTTGGGCTGGGTCTTAGAGGAACGAGCTGGGAGCCATGAGAAGGGACCAAGGGCAGAAAAGCATGAAGGGCATTGCAGGCCGACAGAGCAGCAAGTGCCCGGCAAGAGGCCAGTGAAGGCCCAGCACGGCGGCATGGCGGGCTCAGAGGCAGGAGGCGAGGAGGGGAGGTGCGAGGGCCTGGCCTCCCAGCTGCAGAGCTGGGTTTTGTCTTGAGGATGATGGGCTACCAGAGGGGGGGAGGCAGGCAATGGTTGGGAAGGGCGACAGAGACCCCACGCTGGCCTGTGAAGGAGGGCTTGGAGGTGTCATGTCCCAGCTCAGCGAGGAGGGGATGCCAGGGCCCAGGCTCCGCCCCCAGCACAGATTGTCGGAGCAGGTTTCTCAGGGGAGATGGCACAGGGGAGGGAGGGAAGATGAGAAGGCTTAAGAGAGCCAAGTGCCTCCTCGGGGCTGGCGAGACAGGAACCTCCTAATGCGTGGGGAGAAGTGATCCTGGGGGCCCTTCTGCTCCTGCTAATGGAACCCTCCTTCCCAGTGCCACCCCACCCCCACTCCAAAGGCTCCATTCTCCTGCTCCTGGGGACCATTGGGTGACCTGGACTTCACTACAAGCCTGCCGCGGCTGCTAGATTAATCTGGATGCTAATCTACCCTTCCAGCTGGGGCCTTGTTTGGGTTTGCTGTGGGGCTCACCGGCTCCCAATGAAAAGTTCTAAATTTTTTTTTCAACAAGCTCTTACCAGAAAGTATAAATAAATAGTACAAAGACAAAACCAAAGGTGCTCACTCTGGTTGAAGTGGGATGGGGGCTCCTCGGGCAGCCCCACCTAAGGGGAGCTCAGCTGAAGGATTTGGAGCCTGGACTTGATCTCCAAAGCCCGGATCAGATATCTGGGGAAGTTATCCGGAGACAGACTTTCAGCCCCTCATTAGAAGGGATACTAACCCTGGAACCCAGGCAGCTCAGGACAATGGGCGGAAGCCTGAAAGAAGAACGTTAGACGGGCCAGTGAGAACTGGATTATTATCACCATTTGCAGATGAGGGACCCGAGGCTCAGAGAAGAGACTCTAACGTGAAGTTAAGGCCTTGGGGTTCCAGAACAAGTCCCTTTCCTGTGCTCCTCCGGTCTCACTGAGTCTCCTGTCGTGGTAGCTCAGACACTGTGTGCCTCAGGGATGCCGTTTCTCTGACTATAAAGTAACAGATGAACCAGAGCAGGTGCAGGACCCGGCTCTCCCCACTCCAGTCAGCTAGAAGCTGAGGCAGAGTCCTGGGTCCTCAATTTGGTATCAGGGGAATTTTTTTCACTTGGCCTGAACAGCAGTTACAGTAGAAATCTGAAGGGAGAAAACAGAAGGGGGTTGGCTGGACCACCAGTGCCCAGGGAAACGTCCCCACATTGGGACCCTAAGGCCCAGGCTCCATAAATAGGGGCCACAGGGATTCCCAGTTCCCTAAAAGCTGCATGAATCAGCTTGGACAATAGGAGGAGGAGGCTGGACAAGGGGCCTGTGTCTTCCAGGCGTAGGACTCTGAGGACTGCAGAGGCGGCTCAGCGGCACAGCGCTCTGTGTCCGTCCCACTCCTGCTCTTGGCAAGGCTTCAGCCAGCATCCTTCCTGGGCCCCTCCCGGGGCCTGCAGCCAGGTGCCAGTCAGCTGATGTGGAGCCCAGCAGGAACCACGGCCCCAGGGCCCTGAGCAAACTCCCAGGCACAGAACAAGGACTGCCACGCACTGACTGTCCAAAACCCCAACGGATGGGACACTTGTTAAGAGGGTGAGTGTGATTTGCTTCTATTTCCCAGAGAAGTGGGCCCTCAGGGGGACTGGGACAGGGTCAAGGTCTCCCAGAGTCAGTGCTGAAGCTGAGCCACAACCTACTGTCCTGGCACTGAGATCAGAATGAGCGAGAGGAGGACATGCATTACTCACTCATTCATCCATTCACATGTTCAGCCATTCCTGGGCTGCTGGGCCCTCGGGGGGGAAGGAGGCAGACCCGGTCCGCTTCCGAGGATCACAGCGCTCTCCGAGGATCACAGCGGGGAAAGGGTCCTTGGCCAGGAAAGCCATCAGAGCAGGGTTCAGGGCAGAGCAGGGAGTGACCTGTGTTTGGCTGGCGTAGTCTGAGAAGGCAGCTCATGGGAAGCAGCTCAAAGATGGGGGACCAAGAAGATGGGGGTGTTCAGGAAATTTCTAATGACTCTGAACGAGATTAAGCGAAGGGAGCAAGCATAGCGGAGGCTCCAGCCCTCCTCTCTGGAGCTGGAGACTAGCAGGACCCAGAAGGCCGGGATTTCCTCCTGGAGGCCCCGAGGAACCCCTCCCCAGCCCCCGCTCCCCCCCCCCCCCCCGCTCACCTCCACCTCCCCTCCCCAGCCCCCCCACCTCCCCCCCCCACCTCTTACCCCTCCCCAGCCCCCCACACCTCCTCCCCCCCCCCCCCAGGAGAGTTCTCGGGGTGGTGCTCTGAGCAGGTGCCGGGAGGAAACGGCACAGGTTCCTGGCACGGCCTCGCGGTGGGCAGCCACAGGAGCCACACAAGCACTAGACAAACTTTGCAAAACTTGCGCGTCGCTGAAAACCTCAGCCCAGGCAGCAGGGCTGCGGCGCCAGCCCCGCCCTGGCAGCTCCGCGGGCAGATGCGGTGACCCGCCGCGGCCGCGTCCCCAGCCGGTGGCTGGGTGTCGGACGGGGCGGGGCGGGGCGGGTCCAGAGTCTGTCCAGAGTCCGATCGCCCCTGCGTGACCGGCCGGTGCGGGAGCTCCGCGGCCGGGTGGGCCTCCTGGCACGTGGGTCCCGGCGGCGGCGGCGGCAGGACGCGGGCACCGGGCGCGGCGGCCGCCCCGCTGCGGGCGGACAGGCCCCGCGGAGGTGAGGCCCGGCGGGCGGAGGCGGGGGCGGGGGCGGGGGCGGGGGCGGCGGCGCGGGCGGCCAGGGAGGCGGCGGCGCGGGCGGCCAGGCACCGGGGAAGCGGAGCCGCGCGCCGAAGGCTTTGTTGGGAGCCGGCGGCCCGCGCTGGGGGTCGGGAGTGGAACTCCGTGTCCGCTGGAGCGCTGACCGCGGGGAAGGTGGACGGACCTCCCGCGAGCGTGTGTCCTCGTATTTGGGAGCGGCTGTGTGCTGGTGAGTGAGAGTGTGCGCCCCTGCAGCGGCGAGAGGTGAACTTGTAGAACTTGTGTGTGTGTGTGTGTGTGTGTGTGTGTGTTTGCGTGTTTGAGTGTGTGTGTGTTTGCGTGTTTGAGTGTGTGTGTCTGTGTGTGTGTGTCTGTTTGTGTGTGTGTGTGTGTGTTTGTGTGTTTGAGTGTGTGTGTGTGTCTGTGTGTGTGTGTCTCTGTGTGTGTGTGTCTATGTTTGTGTGTGTGTGTCTCCGTGTGTGTGTCTGTGTGTGTCTGTGTGTTTGAGTGTGTGTGTGTGTGTGTCTCTCTGTGTGTGTGTCTATGTTTGTGTGTGTGTGTCTCCGTGTGTGTGTTGTGTGTGTGTGTGTCTCTGTGTGTCTCCGTGTGTGTGTCTGTTTGTGTGTGTGTGAGTACCGCGCTCTGGAGTGGGCACCCGGGAGGGCTGGAGACCAGCTAGACCCCCTAGAGGCCGGCTCTCTCCCGGGCACTCTGGGTGGCCCGCCCCCGCCTGGGCGTCGGTAGGACTTGGGGTGTGTGTGGGGGGGGGGGGGGAGGCAGTGGCCTGAAAGGACAGTTAAGCTCAGTCAGGGGACTGTTAATCTGGCCGGTGGTGCTGTAGGAAGGGTCTGTCTGGGAAAAGGCAGGGCCCTCCCTCCACTCCCCAGCCAGGGCTGCAGGTTTGGGACCCCCGGAGCCAGTGTAAGGGCCAAGCCCCGCTGTGGACTAGAGCTGCTCCTTTCGTATCCTTGGGCTCACAGCCTTTTGTTTTGGACCTAGACTGGGATCCTGGGGAGCTCTTGGGGGCCAGGGTGAGGCCTCGGTTAAAGTCTCAGTTATCTCAGGGGGTAGGAGTGGTTGGGAAGGAGATGCTTTGAGCAGACAGGAGCCACCAAAGTCCCCTGAGAATCAGAGATCTATGTTCCTGTCCTGCCTTAGCCACTGTGTGACCTGGACAGGCACGTTCCCACTCTGAGCCTCACGGGCTCGCCTGCGGAAGGGAAATAACAATGATGGGAGTTTGAGGAGCTGACGTGTGGGTCCAGTCCAGCACCAAGGTCTTCTTGGAAAGGCTCACAGCTTGGGGTGGGATCAGTGCTAGAGGGAACTTGATGAAACCCAAATCCCAACAGTTCTCTCTGGGCTAGACTTCCACAGGACCCTGAACCACTCAGCCTGGGCCTCCAGGCCTCCAAGAACTGATCACTGCCAGCCTCTCCAGCCCCCTCTCCCACCTGACGCTTCTCCCGCCAGTAACTGCATGGAGTGTGCTGCACATACTGGTCAGTTCCTTGCCTCTGGATCACTGTGCATTCTAAGCTCACTGCCTGAAATGCCTTCCTCCTCTCCTCTTCCTCCGTTCGGCACATCTCAGATGTCTCCTCCTCTGGGAAGCCCTCCTTGATTCTCCAGCTAGATTGGGTTCTTCTGGGATCTTGCAGTCCCGGTGCTGACAGCCCTGCTCTCTCTTGGGCTGTCATGGCCTCTGTCTGTCTCCTTTCCAATGCCCAGGTCTGAGGCCCCCTGGAGGGCAGGAACGGGGGCTTGTTTCTGTGTTGCCAACACCCTGCACAGGGCTGAACTGAACTGAGCAGCGCCTGTCCTCTGCCCCGTCCCCAGCTTCCCCAGTGAAGGCCTTCCACAGTGGAGCTCTATGTCGTTACAAAGAAGGGGAACCCAGAATCAGGTCATCCGGGTGGGTGGCACAGGGTATCAGAACAGGGTGTCCTTGGGCGGCACTACGGGACCAGAGAAAACAGGCTGAGAACTTGGGTTTCATCGGAAGGCCATAGGGAGCCACGGGAGGGTTGTGAGCAGGGGGAGATTCGTGGTCAGAGCACATTTCAGGAAGCGCTCCCGCTGCAGGGTGGAGAATGGGTTGAGCAGTGCTAAGTGCACGGAGGTCGGGGCATGTGTGATATTGTTACCAGAATCGCCCAGTCGTTGTTTCAAGTATGAGCCCTTACCCCCTAGTTTAAACACTTCCCTGACCCCTCAGATGCTTTTGCTGAGGAATTTGAGGACATTTAGGACTTTCCCACCCCCCTTTAGGGAGCCAGGGGACCAGTGAGTGATGGGTCACATCCCAGCTCTGCCCCCAACTTGCTGGGTGACCTTGGGACAAGTCCTGCTTCGCCAGCCTCTAAAAGGAGGCTGGAACGGGTGAGGCCCTGTGCTGAGAATTGGTGCGTGGGGAGGCCCTGGCATGGACGGTTTGTCACTTTTCTCTCTTTCCTGCCCTGGGCTGTCGTGAAGCCTGGCTGCATGGGTTGGAGGCTCATAAGTGGCTGCCGATGATCCTTACCTCTTCAAATGCTAGGTTCTATGAGGATTCTTAAGATGGTGGCCAAGAAAGACCTTTGTAAGCTGCAATGCACAGGGAAGACGTGTGATACTCAAAGACCGAGATGCATTTTGAAGGCAATAACAGAAAATAGGTGCAATAGCAAGGGATCATTTTTTTTTTTAATAATAGTTCATATATATATATATATATATATATATATATATATATAAAATTGATTTTTCACAGAGGGGAAGAGAGAGGGATAGAGAGTTAGAAACATTGATGAGAGAGAATCATCGATCAGCTGCCTCTTGCACACCCCCTACTGGGGATGTGCCCGCAACCAAGGTACATGCCCTTGTCCTGAATCGAACCCAGGACCTTTCAGTCTGCAGGCCGACGCTCTATCCACTGAGCCAAACCAGTCCCGGCACAAGGGATCACTTTTTAACAACTGCTCACTAGGAGTAATTTATAAATATCCCTCCACCAACCCTGTGAGGGAGGAATTATCGTCCCCATTTTGCAAATGAGCACATAGGGGCTCGGGAAACAAGGTCACAAAGACAAGGTGAAAGCTGGGGCTCCTGCCTACCTGCCCCAGCTTACAGCTCCCCATTCAAGACCAAAGCCCCACCTACATGCAGCTCCGGCTTTCAGGCTGAAGGAAGTCTGAATCCTGCCCGAAAACCTGTCTCTAGGTCTTGCTGTGGCCTGATGACCCAGTTGCTGATCATCTAATGCCCGTTCAGGCCTGCCTACAGGACTGGGGAAGCTTGGCTCTGGTGAGAGGAGATAGAGGTGCCCCGAATGAAATCTTTCCTCTGCCTGGACTGCCTTCTGTGGACCTGTCTAGCGTGCCCCTTGGCCTACATCTTCCTCTTGGGCTGCCTGTGTGTCCTCAGGCCTGGCCTCCCCAGATGCCCAGGCCTGACGGTGGGGAGGCTGGTGTGGAGGCCCATCCTGACCTCTGAACTCATCCTAGAGGTCAGATGCAGGACTTGGCCAGGCCAGGCCTGCTTTCTTTCTATGTCCACATCATCCAACACAGGTTGGGCTAAAAGAGATGCCAGTGAGTGTCCGGGAAATGAATGACCAGGTGAGAGTGGGCGTGTAGCGGAAGAGGAGGGCCTTGCTCCATGGAGAGCAACAGTTGGTTTCTGAGCAGAGGAGTTTCTCCACTCCCCGCCTCAGCATGTCTTAGCCCTGAGTCATTTCTGCTTCAGGATGAATAACTAGAGTTCCTGCTGCGAGAGTGGGTAGCCTGGGCCCCTTTGGGCAACTACTTCCTCCTTGGCCCTCTACCCTGGTACCCTGCCACTGCTATTGTATTGACAATGACACTGCCGGGCACTGGAGCATGGGAGAAGGGCCTCCCTCAGACTTCTTGGGACCCACATGACCCTCCCCTCTCCCCTTGAGTTGGGGGAGTCTCCCTGCTCCTAACCACCTCCCACATGGCACTCCCTACAAAAGTCAACTCAGACCATGTCCTTCCCTGCTTAAGCCCTGTCATGGCTTCCCATTGTCCTCAGGATAGAGGCCAAGTTCTTCAGCCTGGCATTCCATGTGAGTCCTGCAGCCCTCCCCCTCACACATACGCATTCTGTGCCACCTGTCCCTCCACTCCAGCCTCACATGACCCCTGGTTTTATGCCAACAGTCAACACTATCACACCACGGAGTCTTTGTACCTGATCTTCCTTCTGCCTTTGATGCTCTCCTACGTCTCTATCCACCTACTCCTAATCATCTATCGGGACCCAGCTCACCAGCTGGGACCTCCTCTGGAAGCTCTTCCTGGCCACCTTACCAGGCTGGTTAGGGGCTCTATGAGCTCCATGGCCCCTGGGATTCCTTTGGCTATGGCTTGATTACCCAAGTAGCCTTGATCCATGTCTATGGCTTTCCCCCCAATTCAGACTGGAGCTCTTCAAGGGCTTGTCTGAGTCTGGTCTGCGTCTGGATTTGCAGGGTCCCCCTGAGGTCAGGCACGTGGGGCCACTGGCAGGTGTTTGCTGATACTTTGGCTCCTGGGAAAATGATTTACGATTGTGTTATTCTGAGGGTTCAGACTCCTGTGGTTCTGAGAATCTCAGAATTAAAGAAACATTTAGCATTTACTCCAAGGACCAGAGACTCTTGCAATTGGACTGTAAGTACCAATGAACCCAGAATCCTGGAAGCACTCAGAATGAGACAGCCTCAGCATCACAGACTCATTTGTATCCCATTCTACAGCTTTGTTCCTTTTTCTACTTTGGATCCTCCATTCTCTCTTTTTTCTTCCAACCTGGACTCTTTCTGCTTCTCTTCATACCTGATTACAGGCCTTCCCAGTGAACTTTCCCTGACTGTCCTGACCATGGCCCTCTGCTGGATTACCTAGGAGGGGCCCCTGCTGAGAAGTGTTTCGTGTCTGTGCCATGACAGGAGGCGCAGCCTCACAGCAGGACAGGGCATGAATTTCAAGCCCCATGGAGCACCCACCTGACATTCCTCATGAGCTGTCTTGTGTAGTGGTGACTGTCCCCAGTTGACCACTGAAAAACACAAGGCTCAGAGAGGGAAACCAATTTGACTGAGATTGCACAGCATGGGCAGTTCCAAGTTGGAGGCTGCACCCAGGGTTCTTGCTTCTTGAGTCCGGCTGGAGGCATCTGGATTGTGACATGTTGATGTGAAGTCCAGGGCCTGGTGGTTCTGAACTAGTTCCGTTTAGCAGTGCATCTCTATTGCCTTGTGCTGGGTGGGGCTGGGCTGGACCGTGCCAGGCCAGGGGTAGTAGGACAGGTAGTTTGGAGTCCTGACCTGGGGGTGAGGGTGGAGGTCCTCACCTCCACACTGAAAATACTAGAATTAGAACACCAGACCTTGAGTAAGGCCCTTACTCTTAAGGAGTCTCAGTTACATTATCTGAGGTGGGAGGACCAGAGACGCTGATCTGAAACCCACATACTCAGATGCTCTGAGCTCAACCCCAACATGTGGCTCTCACAGCCAAGATCCTGAGGGCTCTTGGAGTGCCTCCAAAGGGGCTGCAGAGCACAAGGGCTTCCTGGAAAGGCTGCAAGGTTTTACTTTGCAACACACCTATCGATAACATCTGAGGTTACCCCCTCAGCTATTTCCCCAGATGAGCCCAGTAAGTGCTTGTGGTGTAGAAAGCATCCAGGCAAGGCTGGGGGCCCACTGGCCTTCAGCTCTGTGAATGAGATTTGGGAGGGGACAGAGGTGACTTCCAAGATGCTCCTTGTCTTTGAACTCATCCTTGTCTTTTAACCCAGGGATGACTAACATTTCCCCAAATATACTGTGTGATCTACTGCCCTGGTTTCTGCTCACTCTGCTTTTCTCTCTTCGCTCACCTGACCCCTTCCAAAATTCAGGTCAGGTGTCCTCTCTTCCAGGAAGCCTTCCTTGACCACCTCCCCATTCCCATTAGGGGTCCTCTTGTCTGCTTTACCCCTATTGCCTCTGTTTTCTTCATCCCCAATCACCCTGAGTCGTCATTACCTATTTCTGGGTCTTCTCCCATGTGCTACCTACCCCTTCCTTGCCAACCTTGCCAGTGACCCACCTTGGAATCCCCAGAGCTCTATATCAGGGTGAGGCATCAATATGACAATCTTGAGTGAGTAAAGAAATGTGGTTGGATCAAGTTCCTGCTGGGGGCCTCCAAGGGTGGCCTTCAGTGTGGGAAACTTGATCTGTGACCTTGCTACTGTGCCCCAAATTCCTGTGGGTTTCCTGCCCCTCTTGTCTTCCTTAAATACTGTTCTTAGATGGCCAGCGATTGAGACTTAAGTTGTGGAGAGGAGACTTGTCCGAGAAGGACAGAGCTGGGATTTTCCACCTGGGTGGGGCGCTCTCTCCTGTCCCTCGATGATATTCTAGGTCCAGGTCTTCTGCTTCCCTTCACAGAAGAAGCAGGCGGCAGAGGTTTCCAGAATGGTGATGGTCACAATCCCCTTCCAGTCTGGACAGGGCCAGCTAGGTGGGTGGGTGAGTGGGTACATTCCAGAGCCACCCTAGTGGAAGAGCTGGAATGTCTTCTAACCACCCTGGAAATTCCTCAGCTGGCCTGGGAACTGCCCAGCCCTTTCTCCCAGCCTTGGACACACTGGCCTGGGACCCAGGGTGGGGTAGAGGCAGCCATGTCAGTGGGGCAGGTATTCCGCATGTTTGGCTTGGCACTTTCTGGCCTTAGTGTTGTAGTTTTTAACCTGTGAGATACGTACAATAACCATCATGGCTGCTTCACACCTAGAAAGTACCAGGAAGAGTCGATCCTGGGCCCTGCCTGTAGGGCATTCCCTGTGGCAGAGAACCGACCAGGAAAGCAGAGCCATGGGGCTCACCGAGGGCTAGTGAGGGAGCTTCCTGGAGGGGAGAGCCTAGGCCGCGGAGGGAAGGAGGTGGTGGTCAGGGGCACCGCTCCTCAAGTCAGACAGACCAGGCTGCTCTGCCGTCTGCCAGCTTTGTGACCTTGGAGGGGTTGTTTTGCTTCTCTAAGCTCCTCGGGATTAAATGAGAAGGGATCTGTGAAGCCACCAAAGATGGAACTTGGCAGAGAAAGTACTCCTCTCTTATGATGATATTACTGTTAGAAGCTGAGGGATGGTGATCCTGAGCAAAGAGAGACCTCAATGAGACTGCCCTGCTGTGCTTGGCACAGGAAGGGGAGGGTGGAGGCAGAGAGGGTGGGCTGCCTGGAGCAGCAGTCGGTTGCCAACAGTTGACGACTGTTGGTCTAGACCAGTGTTTCCCAAACTTCTCTCATGATGAGAATCACCTGGTGGAGTTGTTAAAATACAGATTCCTGAATCCCAACTAAGAGGTGCTAAACTAGAATTTTTGGGAACATATAGGTAAAATTGTATACTACTTAACTAGTGCTCTAAGACAGAGCACTAAGTATACAATTTTATCTATATGTTCCCAAAATACAATTTTACCTATATGTTCCCAAAAACTCTAGTTTAGCACCTCTTAGTTGTGATTCAGGAATCTGAATTTTATCAACTCCACCAGGTGATTCTCATAATGAGAGAAGTTTGGGAAACACTGGTCTAGAGGGATGGCAGGGCCTGGACTGTCAGGCTCAGGGGCTTGGACATAGTCAGGGTAATAGGGAGCCATGGAAAGGTTCTGAGCTCCACGGTACATGGTCAGGTTCATGTTCTAAGAAGACCTGTGACTGCCGTACAAAAGGTGGACAGGAGGGCAGGAGTAGCGGCAGGGGGACCAGGAAGGGGTTGGTACAATGTGGAGGAGACGTGCAGGCCTAAGGCCACGAGGTGGGGGAAAGTGCCATCCCTGAGTCACTCCTCTGAACTGACAGGAGTTGGTGAGTGATGCTTTTCACATGGGTGGGACAGAGAGAGGCTGTCAAGGGCATATTAGAGGTTTGAAGCCTGGAAAGATGGATGGTGGAAACCCTTCTCAGAAACCGGAGGGTGGTTTTGAGAAAGAGCTGTGCTCCACCTTACTCTGCTGAGTGGAGGCCTCTCCTGAGGAGAAGACGGGGTGTGATGCTGGGCACTGTCGGTGAAAAGGTGAAGTTCTTTCATCTTGTCACTAGACTCCAGAGCAGACTGGCACAGAACTACCTGCCCACCGGCCCAGGTCAGCCTGAGGATCCTGGAGCAAGGCCCGCTAGGAGCACAGTGCCCAGGGCTATTTCCCAGTGCCTTTACTGCCGTCCGTTCCTGCAGCCACTCATCCCCTCCCTCCGCTTTCTGCCGTGCTAGCGCTGCACCCCAGCCTGGGGACCTGGCCTCCGTCATCTTGAACCCCACTCCCCCGCTGTGGAGAAAGGAAGGCGACAGAAGAGGGATGTTCTTTTCTTCCTGTGATGTATCTGCGATTTTGATGGATGCTGGGACCTGTCCACACAGAGGTCACCACACCCGCACTGCAGCCCTGTGCCTGGCGTGTGTGAGGGGCTCCCGGGCAAGACAGAAACCAGGGCCAGAGCCCGGAAGGCCTGGCTTCTGATCTTGTCTGCGCCACTGACTTACTGTGAGGCCCCACGTCTCAGTTTCTTCTGTCAAATGGAAGTTTGGCACCCTGATCTCTAAAGGCTATTTCAGGCCCTGACTAGGACTGTGTGTGTGCACTTCGTGTCTGTCTCAGTGTGGTTGTGTGCATCTCTGTGTAGCTGTGTATCTAGGTGTGTCCATGCCTGTGAATGTTCACAACATGAGGAATGATTAGAGGGAAAAAGGATATTCCAGATAGAGACTCAGCTTGGGCAAAACCGGGTTGGCTGAAGTCCTTATCAAGTGTATACCAGGCAGGGAGCTTGGTAACTGTTTCCTGATGTGGGGCTGAAGCGCAGAATCAAAATCAAGGGAAGGGGTATTAGAGGCTCAGCTCAGCTCTGCAGGACACGGGGAGACCGCCTCTGGCAGAGCCTTCTGGGAAAGGGGGCTCCTGGGGAAGGAGCTGGGAACAGCCATCCCTGGAGCCTGTAAGCTGAGGGTGGATGGCTGGTGGGCAGAGGTGACCCCTCCTGGGACCAGCACACCAGGCCGCCTCTCTGCCTCTCTCAGGCCAATGCCGGAGCAGAGCAGGTGGCCCCGGGAGGGCTTGGCCTGGCTGGCTTCCCGTGATCCAGAGCCCACACTGTCTCCACCTCCCTGTGTCTCAGGAGCCCACAACACTGCCTACCCTGAGAAATGCTGGAAGCTGGGTGCGGCCCCAGGCGGGGGACCTGTTTTTCCTGTTTCCTGCAGAGTTCCCTGCAGCCCAGTCCAAGCCTGTGCATTCATGAGTGAGGAACCCGAGCGGGCACCGAGCATCCTGACAGCAAGAGCAGGGGCCGGTCAGGTACGGACGTGCGCGGGCGGGGTCCGCTGGCTAAGGAGGCTGGGGCAGGTGCGTGCATGTGTGTGTATACACTGAACCGAAGGGAGGTCAAGGGGATCCCTGCCCTGCTCCCTCTTCCCAGGCTGTGATAAATGAAGGCTTTGGAGCCAGACAGTCCTGGGTAACAAGCCCAGTTTTTCCAATTCCTGGCAGGGTGACCTTGCACAAATAGCTCGATGGCAGCATCTGCCGAGGAATGAGGGTGGGGGATAAAACTGGGTTGCTATGAGGAAGCTGCTCATCCCAGGCCTGACCCCTACAAAGTGAGGGGATGGGGCTCCAGGATCAGGAGCTCCTGACCCAGGATCTGAGCCAGAGGTGGGTGAAATAAAAGAACGTGGTTAGCTCAGACAGCTGACCCCTCTCCAGAATATCTGGGTCCAGTTACCCGCCCTCTGTCCAGAGAAGGGTAGGGCCTTCTCTGTGCCTCTTGAAAGAGAGACAGTCCAGGAACCTTGGGTGGGCTGGGCCCCAGGAGCGCTGGGGTGACTCCTGGCCACCGAGGGTCAGCAGTGAGAAGTCTTTCAGTGCCATTGTCCTCTGGGAGGCTCTCAGAGGAACAAGGGAAAGGAGAGCCACTGTCATAATGCTTGTCCTCCTTTGGGCTCCCATAGCCTTTTGTGCTTGATTCATTCATTCACTCGTTCATTCATTCTCTTGTTCATTATCTCATTCATGTTATACCTGCTTTAAATCAGACCTCTTGTTGGCTAGGGACAGAGAAAAGAATCAGGTAGTCCACGTCCTCTGGGACTACCTGGAATGTGTTGAGGTAGAAGGTGGATGGACTTACTAACAGGGTCTGAGGAATCCCTAGGGGTTGTGTTAAGAGGACAGCTTCGGAGATGAGGTGACATTTGAAGAGAACCTTGCGGGATGGGCAGGATGGAGTGCAATGTGGGTGGGTTTCCAGACAGAAGGCACAGCGTGCACAAAGGCAAGGAAGCCTGGTAGGACACGTGCACGGCTCATAGCTCCCTCCAGACCAGGAACTCTTCAGGGCAGGGCCAGCCAGACCTGGACACGGAGGGGCTGGTGAGTGGTGTGAGACAAAGTTAGGCAGAAGCCAGTCCCAAGGGAGCAGGGAGTGAGGCCCCCAGGGCATCGGAGGTCAGAAAAGAGAGAAGACGGGCTGGGGACCTGACTATCTCCATAAACAAAGGCTGGGGAGGCAGGAAAGATGTAGTCACAGGCTGGAGAGCCAGCCTGTGGAGGGAGAGGGTGGGCAGAGTCAGTCTGGACGGGGGCCATGGCAATGGAATCCCCAGCCTGCTGGGAGGGAGGAGGCCAGGATATCATAGAGCAGGTGGAAAGGGCAGCTCCCTAGGTTCCCTGGAAACTTAAGGAAGTCTCCACCCCTCTCGCTAGTGTCAGAGATTCCACCACAAGTGATTAGCAAGAGCATTGTGCAGAGCAATGGGAAGTTGGCCCGACTCTGAGGAGACACCTGCCTTGGGGCTGGACCTAAAGCAGCAGGCAGAGGTGGGACTGGGTGTCATGGAGGGGCCGCTCTCCTTATCTCCAGTGGGAAGAAGACCTCATGAAGAAGGTTTTATTACCGCAGTTCTCCAAGGCCAGGGAATTTAGCCGGAGAGAGGTCTGAGTCTCAGGAGGGCAGGAAATGCCTAATGTCACTGAGGTTCTGTGGCAGGGCTGGACACCCCAACCTGGTGGCCCTTCTACAGGTCCTCAGCCTCATACTTGGCCTCCACATCCTTCTTGCAGCTTCTGCGAACCAGCAATTCCCAGCCCATCCCCCAAAGTGTCAGATCTGACAGCCCCAGCCTTCTCCCATGCCCACATCCCACCATACCCCTTCAGGGCTCCCCACACTTACAATGTCTGACACTGAATCCCTCCTCTCCCCCCTCCTGCTCCTCCTCCCAACCCCTGAGCCGGGCCTCTTGTCTGCCTCTCTCTCCTGCCCAACCCCATCCAGACTTCCTCTGGGCCAGTCTCTCCAGCCTTCCTCCCAAACAGCTCTCAGGTCTCTCCCCTCAGAGGTGCCAGGCCTGGCCCTCGCTTTGGGCTCATCGTCATCCCCTGGCCCACCACACTCACCTGCCTTCAGTCCAGTGGCCTGAGAGAGCATCCCAAAGATTTCAAGAGAAGGCCACATCTGAGCTGAGCCTTGAAGTTCATAAAATCACAGCATACCTACTGTGTGCCAGGCATTGCTCCAAACATTTTATCCCGATTACTCACTTCATCCTCACAGCAGTTCTGTGATACAGCTTCCAACAATCACCCCATTTTCTAGAGGTGGAATTAGGAGGTCTGACTCCAGAGGCCAGGGTCTTCGTAATCACTGAAGGATAAAGAGTTGTCATTTCAACAGGCAGATATGAAAGGGGTGTGTGGATTCCTGGTTGAGGGAGCAACATGAACTAAAGCTGAGAGAGGAGACGTGTTGGGCACATTCAGGAAACCGCAGGTCACAGAGGATGGTTGGGGCTGGTGAGATCGGCAGAGGCTTCCTCCTGACAGCAGGCAGGAGCCATGGAGGGCTTCAAGCAGGGGAATGACTCTGTCTTTTACAAAGACCCCTCTGGATTGGGGAGGACTGAGGCTGGAGGCGGAGAGGCTGATGCGGTGGCTCCTACAGCAAGGATGAAGGTGACACTGGGCTGCTTGGAGCAGGAATGGGAGGCAGGAAATGCTTTAATGCCAGGTCCTGAGTCCTGGCCCCGGGCAAGAGGGATCCCAGCAGGTTAGTCCTTCCAGAGTCTCTCCATCCCAGCTCTCGCTCAGCTTGGTACCATGTAGGCTTCTCCCTGCCTCCTCACCCTGGACCTGCTCTGGCTCCTTGGGCAGGAACCTATGACCGTGGGAGGGAGGTCACCATACAGGCTCCCTCCCTCCTGGTTGCACCTTTGCTGACAATAGGAGACAGGAAAGATCTGGGGTGGTGGGTAGTGGAACATTGGGGAATAAGGGAGACTGAGGCCCCTTGTGTCCCTCAGCCCCCCTAACCTCAATGTCAAGGGCCTTGCACTGCCGCTGAGAGGCCAGGCTGGGCATGAAGCTTAGGGTCTAAAGGAGAGGATATCGCTGGCCTGACAGAATCCCCAAGTTCCAGCCTCTCAGGACCCCAGCTTCCAACATGAAGGGGATTGTACAGCCCCAGGTTATCAGGGTAGAAGGGACTCACGCATTATCTGCCCTCTGTGTGCTCCCAGACACACCCACAGGCAGGACACGGGCCCTCCTGAAGATTCGGCTTGCACAACCCCATGGCGGAGAGTTCCTATCTCCCTCTGATAGCACCTTCCTATTCCTAGGAATTGTAGCCTGTGGCCTTGGCCAAATAACTTGAATGATTTGTGTCTCAGCCCCTTTATTGGGCATGATAACCTGGCTCCCAGAAGCATGCTGTAAGAATAGAATGAGGTGACATTAAAAAAGCACATATATTATAGTAATATGGTTTGAAAGGGTCAGCCCCCTCTGCCCTTTCACAGTTAGAAAATTATTCTTTTAAAAAATATATGTTTTTATTGATTTTTAGAGAGAGGAAGGGAGAGGGAGAGAGAGATAGAAACATCAATGACGAGAGAGGATCATCAATCAGCTGCCTCCTGCACACCCCCTACTGGGCATCATCATGACAACCTGGGCATGTGCCCTGACCCGGGAATTGAGCTGCTGACCTCTTGGTTCATGGATTGACGCTCAACCACTGAGCAACACTGGCTGGGCTAGAAAGTTATTCTTTGTGTTTGTCCCAAACTGTCCACCAGGGACCCCTGCTAGGATTTCCAGCCTGCCTTCTGGGACCTTTAGGCATATCATCACCCTCCAGACTGGGATATCTGCCTCCTGCCTCCCAGATGAGCAAGAGATCTTATTGGTCACATTGGTGGGGGTGAGGAGAGGAGGAAGGTGGGTAACTTGTTCTCTGGGTGCTCACTGGGCAGTCAGGCCCTGTGGGTGTGTTATAGACCCACTAGGGACAAGGTAGGGGAACCTCAAGATAGTGGTCGAGTGGAAGAAGAGCTGGGTGAGCCTGGAGGAAGCTGAACTTGACCCACAAATGAAGTCCCCAGCTGTCCCCACACCCATTTCCACCCCAGACTTCTCTGGAATCTTCAGGAGGGTCACTGTCCCATCTGGTAGACTCACACGCCAGAGAACTGCACCACTGGTTACAGATGCAGAAAGTGCCAGAATGTAAAAGTATCTAAAATGAAATAAAATTAAAAAATATTTGCTGAGAGAATGAATGAGTGACTGAAGAGGGAGACCCTTGGAAATACTTCCTCAATACCAAAATACCAGGCACAGGGCCAGAACCTCTGTAGGGAGCCAAAGAATAAGCTAAAGGAAAGAATGTTCTAACGCCCCCAGGAAGGTATGGGCTGCCCCTTGGCCAGAAACACTTCAGAAGGCAGTGGCCCTGGGTGTGTGATGGAGCCCAAAGGCCTCAAGGGCCCCGTCCATGAATCGGAAATTACACCCTCTTGAATCCTTGATTCTAGAGTTCAGAACCCCAGACCTAGAATTCTGTGCTCTCAAGGTTCTAGAATAGAGTTGCCAAACTTTGTTCTTGTAAAAGGCCTAAAATGGTAAATATTTTCTTTGTTGCAACTGTCCAGTTCTTTGTAAACAGATGGGTACACTATATCCCAATAAAGCTTTATTGGGCTGGATTTGACCTTTAGTGTGTAGCTTGCCTACCTCTGTTCTAAAGTTTGAGGATTGTATGACCCTGCTATTTATGGACCTCATGCATTCTCATGCATTTTTGAGGGTTCCGAGGTCCTGGGCCCTCTGGGTCCAGGGAGCCAGGTCCGAAGGCCTTGAACATGGTTGGGCAGATCTTAACCAAAGGAATCTGCTCCTATCCCTGCGTCAGGCCGGTGTGTCAGGCCTCTTGGATGAGCCCTGGCTCACACCCTGACGGCTGTTTTCTCCTCCCCCCGCCCCCTTTCCTGCAGGGCCATGGCCGCAGCCCCCGGCCTCTGGAACAGCTCCATCAATGACACGTGGGATGGGGACGAGCTGGGCTACAAGTGCCGCTTCAACGAGGACTTCAAGTACGTGCTGCTGCCCGTGTCCTACGGCGTGGTATGCGTGCTGGGGCTGTGCCTGAACGTGGCGGTGCTCTACATCTTCCTCTGCCGCCTCAAGACCTGGAACGCCTCCACCACCTACATGTTCCACCTGGCCGTGTCGGACGCGCTGTACGCGGCCTCCCTGCCCCTGCTGGTCTACTACTACGCCCGCGGCGACCACTGGCCCTTCAGCACGGTGCTCTGCAAGCTGGTGCGCTTCCTCTTCTACACCAACCTGTACTGCAGCATCCTCTTCCTGACCTGCATCAGCGTGCACCGCTGCCTGGGCGTGCTGCGCCCGCTGCTGTCGCTGCGCTGGGGCCGGGCCCGCTACGCGCGGCGGGTGGCGGCCGGCGTGTGGGCGCTGGTGCTGGCCTGCCAGGCGCCCGTGCTCTACTTCGTCACCACCAGCGCGCGCGGCAGCCGCATCACCTGCCACGACACCTCGGCCCCGAGCCTGTTCGGCCAGTTCCTGGTCTACACCTCCGTGATGCTGGGCCTGCTCTTCGCCGCGCCCTTCGCCACCATCCTGGTGTGCTACGTGCTCATGGCGCGCCGGCTGCTGCGGCCGGCCTATGGCACCGCGGGCGGCCTGCCGCGCGCCAAGCGCAAGTCGGTGCGCACCATCGCAGTGGTCCTGGCCGTGTTCGCCATCTGCTTCCTGCCCTTCCACGTCACCCGGACCCTCTACTACTCCTTCCGCTCGCTGGACCTCAGCTGCCACACCCTCAACGCCATCAACATGGCCTACAAGATCACCCGGCCGCTGGCCAGTGCCAACAGCTGCCTGGACCCCGTGCTCTACTTCCTGGCCGGGCAGAGGCTTGTGCGCTTCGCCCGGGATGCCAAGACGCCCACAAACCCCACGCCCACAAACCCCGCGCCCACTGCCCAGGCCAGCCGCCGGCTGGACCTGTGCAGGTTTCGCAGAACGGACACCAGGGCAGAAGCGGGGTCGGCCAGCAGTGAGAACTCCAGCAGGGAGTCCCCGTTGGCGGGTGGTGGGGACACGAAGGACATCAGGCTATGAGGCCTAAACCTCTCCCTCCGGCCAGGGCAAGCTTGTACGGGGAGGCATCGGTAGGAGCTGTGACTTGTTCAAGTTCAAATGAGGTGATCTCCTCAGATACGGATCATCATGACTCATGCTGGATGGTCCAAGGAGCCGTGACCCCAACATTCTATCGCTTGGCAGGGGCTCCGGACACTCTGTGGTCCAGCGAGCTCAACAGTGCCCCACAGCCCCGTCCCCGTTTGTATGTGTCAACTGGGGAATAAGGTTTCAAGAAGGCAAGGGTTCAGGGCCTGACTCACCCACAAAAATATAGCTGGCCGTGCCTGCCAAGGGACCTAAGCAAGAGCAAGTCAAACAGAGAAACAGGCCAAGAGAGGAAAGTGACTTACCCACGTCACACAGAGGATCCGGGCCTGAGCGGACTGGGAGGTGGGGGGGGGGGGTCCCAGGCTGACGAGAAGACCCTGGTTGCAGCCAGTGCTGAGCCAGAGCTTCCCACAGGGGAACTGGGGCAGGTCTGGGTGCCACAGTGGACTAAGCAATGAGAAGCACCCCCAGCCCAAGAAGTGAACATCTGGAAACTGATTCATAAAACCATGTGGAGGCTCCCATGGGCTGGGAGCCAGTTTGAGGCTGTAACTTGTACTAAAAGTGTTGTTGTCTGCTGTGCTTGTGACCTATTGTGTGGTTGGAGGATGGGGATGCAGCCTGAGAAGCTCTCACCAAGCACACGAGGTTCCTTTCTCCAACCTGTTCTCATCAGCCACTGCCTTCCCACTAGCTGCCCCAGTGGTGGTCTCATATCAGCTGTCAGCCCCCACCTTAAAGCTAACTGGCTTTTGTACCTAGTTCAGCTGGCACAGAGAGGAGTCAGGTGGGGTCCCTGTCCTTGGGATCCCCCAGTTTAGGACTTAACGGCAATCGTGTACCGGTAAATGTTAAAACATTTAACTGGCCCTCCAGGTGGGTGAAGGGAACCCCTTATTTGTAGCATTGCCAATTGCCGTGGTGCAAACACTGCTACAATGGCCAATTTCAGACTACCACTACAATGTCAACCTATCTGCAGAATTGCTGAGAATTTAACAATTGGCTCTTGCAAACAGTACAAGTTGCTCCAACACATCACTGGGGAATGTTGAATGGTTGGGGCTGTGGACTCCCAAGCTATAGTTTCTGGGGGAAAGCAGTTCACTGGGAACATCCAAGTTCAGGGCGCATCCTGGGCAAAGACGTGGGGCCAGGAGAGCAGGGTGTGCGGGAACTGGAGGCAGGCTGGGCAGCTGGTGCCCAGGCTAAAAGCAGGAATGAGGTGGGGGCTGGGTCACAAGGAGGTGAAGTCAGGGCTCCCTCCTTGCCCTGATCATGTGGTTCCCTGAGCACTGAGTAGTGTGGGAGAGACTCACTCCTCTCCCATCCGGTCCTCTGCCTTCGTGGGAAATGCAGCTACTTGGCAAAATGGTTGGTGTTCCGGTGGAGTCAGGGCTTAGTGTGGGGGAGATGGGTCTCACCTGTGACAGGTCCTGGGTCCAGGCAGGACCACCCTGGAGATTTGTGAGACTCAGCTGGACAGGGACCACTAGCCTTTGGGCAGGGACAGGGCAAAACCGACAGGCCTCACAGTTCACCTCAAGGATAAGGTTAACTCACCCCCTCTTCCTAAGGGCCCTCTCTACCTGAGATAAGGCTCTTTCCTCGTCCCCCTTTCCCAGCCTCCTATGTCCTCTCCACCCTCCCCACACCGCCTCAGCTCCTCACATGATAGGGGCCCATCACAAGCCATGACCCCAAATGATGACTCCGCATGGTGCAATGTGGTGACCTGCCCGAAAGAGAGCAAAGGCTTACCTCCCACATTCTAAGTCTTATACTTCTGTTCATGTAACCTGAGTCCCTGAGAACTTGTTCGTGACTGCCTCCCTCAGGCTGTCTTTGCGCCTTTCCTGTAGGTCTGAGTCTGTCTCTTTCCTACTGGCTGCTGTTCAGGCCTAACCCCACCCCAATGTATAGGGACATCCTGCCCAGGTAAGAGGCTGTGCTGGCCAGGAGTGTAAATGTTGGGCTCTGACTCCCCTAGCCCTTTTTAGATCCAGAATCAGGGGTTCTGTACCATGGTTTTGGGGACTCTTGAGAGTTCATCAGTGGTTGGGGTGGGACTGTGGACACCGTGGGCCCGAGGTCCCTTAGTCCCCATTCTTTTCATATCTTGCCCACCGACCCCTTCAGCAGCTGCCCTGGAGACCCCGAAAACCCAGGACACCACAGCGCATGGAGACATCACTATGGCCTACCCCTGTGGTCAGCAAACTGCGGCTCGCTAGCCACATGCTGCTCTTTGGCCCCTTGAGTGTGGCTCTTCCACCAAATACCACAGCCTGGGCGAGTCTGTTTTGAAGAAGTGGTGTTAGAAGAAGTTTAAGTTTAAAAAAATTGGCTCTCAAAAGAAATTTCAATCATTGTACTGTTGATATTTGACTCTGTTGACTAATGAGTTTGCCGACCACTGGTAGCCCCATGAAGTCTTCCTTCACCCAGCTGCCTGCAGATTTCTAAGGTCACAGGACCTAGAGGGCACAGTGGAGCTGACTCATCCCTTAATCTTGGGGCAGGAAGTTCTAAGGAAGCCAGGGACAGGCCCAGGGTCCTACCTCTGGCCCCCTTGGTGTGGACATCTGACCTGCTGCTCAGTGCCCAGGCCACCTGCCTGGTGGGTGAGGCTTCTGACCCTGCTGCCTTGTGCTATTTTCAGCTCAAGTAAGAGCAGGATTTTCCACTCCCAGCCCCAGACCATTGTCCAACAGTGACATGGGGGGACATGCCTGCTCTCAAAATATCTCTTCTTACACTCTGGGCCTCCCTGCCCCTCCCCACCTTCCCACCTCCTCACCCTGACATCACTTCCTGAGGCTGTTGACTCCTGAAAGCCACTGTGAACTGGAGACAGAGAGGGACCCCAGGGATTATCCAGCCCAGCTGCAGACTCAAGGTCAGGGAGGGGCGGGCCTTGCCCAAGATCACTCAGGTCAGCATGGCGCCTGGACATATGCCGAGAGCTCAGGCTGTGCCTGCTGCTCTCTTTCCTTTACTGCAGGTCCGTGCTTCGGTGGGAATGCTGCTGTCACCCCCACCGCCCCAAGTGGAGAGAGCGGCAGCCGAGGCCAGGGACCGGTGGGGGGGGACCAGAGGGTTGGGGTAAGAGCCGGCAGGGTGGGGGAAGTAAATGCCTGCTGACTTGGCTGCAGCAGCTGTTCTCAAGGAGCTCCCTGCAACCCGGGCAGGGACCCTGGCACAGAGGGCTCTCTGCCATGAGTAGCAGGTACCCAGGGCCCAGGAAGGAGGGGGAGTCCCAGCAGACAGACATTCCCACTCTCACCCTTCAAGGCTAGGAGAGGCCCTGAACAACGTACTCCCCAGACACAATTTGCTCTGGTCCAGGCCCCTTGTTGCAGCAGATTTGGGCTGATCTGTTCCGAATCAGGTGCCTGAGGAAGGGAACTCATGTGCAAATCCATGCCCCAGGCACCATGCCAGACCCTATCACATCCATTATGTCATCATTTCTTCACTACAACCGTGTGAAATACGCATTCTTATCCCTGTTCAGCAGATGAGGGGACAGGCTCTGGGAAGCGATGGCTTGCTCCGAGTTATACAGGTCCTTAGATGACTGGAGACGGAGCCCAGGTCCATCTGAGGCCCAGATTAGTTCTCTTTCCAGTATCCCTGGCCACTCGAAACCCCAGTGGGGAAGGAGGGCCATGTGGCGAGAATGGGGGTAAGAGCACAGGTTCTATGCCCAGACCATCTGGGTTTGAGTATGGTCTCTAATTCTTCCAGCCCTAGAACCGTGGGCAACTTCCTTAATCTTGCAGTGCCTCGGTTTCCTCTGTTCTAAACGGAAGTGCTGCCTCCCATGCAGGTCACTGGGAGGCTTACCTGAGTTCATACCCACGGAGCACGTAGAATAGGGCCTGGCAGGTGGCAAACGTTTACACAGCAGGCCCTAAGCCAAGAGGAGATGAAGGCTAACCAGTTAGACCCTACCTTCATGGAGCTGGCATAATTTAATATGTAACCACATGAGTATAAGTTATTTGAAGAAAAGCACAGCATGTCCGGCCAGTGAGCACCACTGGTCTCCTGTGGCCAAGGCTTGCCCAGGGTGGAGGAGGAGGGGAGCAGGTCCTTTCTGGAGTAAGGTGGGGGGCCACCCTCTCCCCAACCTGGCACCGTGCAGCCTTCAGGTGCGTGGGCCTGTGTGTTTACAGAACCTGGTCCAGGTATCTGGCCGAGGGAGGGCAGCGGGGAGAATGCACAGTGGGGAGGAGGAGGAGGAGGATGCCCTTGATGCCATGCTTCTGCAGCCAGTCCCTTTGGGCTAGAGAGCTCCCACCCACCCGTGGAAGCAGATCAAGCCACTTCGCTCTGGCTAATGGTGCCCGCCGTGGGCTGCTGCAGCCACTGCCTGGTTCAACCAGGATTCCAGAGTGGGCGTTGCTGGGCTGGGGCTGGGCCAAAGCAGGCAACCAACAGCCAGCTTTTGCTGTGTTTTCTGAGGCCGCCTGCCTTCCCGCTCTGGGCCACTCTGGAGAGCTTGCCTCCCACGTTCCAGTTCTCCGTGAGGGCATCAGCGATCGAGATTTTCATCACAGGCACAGCTCGCAGCTGCTCCTCCAGGCATCCCCACGGCCCTCTGAGCTCTCAGTTTTGAGAACTGGAGTGGGGGTAGGGAGTCTCTCTGGCATCAAGTGACCAGAGAGGTAAAGTGACTCCATTGGCACCACACAGTGCCTTGAAGGGCTGGAGGGTGGAACGCGGCCAGAGTGGCTGCAGGGTGAGGAGTTTGCTTGCCTTCCCAAGGGGAATGTGCTTGTGGGGGGTGGGTGATGGGGGGAAAGGAGCCCCAGAAGTCAAACTCTCATCCTCCTCTGCCCCGATACACCATGTGACTTGCTGAGTCCCTTCTCTCCGGGCTTCAGTTTCTGCAGCTTCAGCAGGGCTCGGCACCGTCCAGCGGTTCTTCCGTTAGCAGGGGCTTCCTGGGCTTGCCTGTGCCCTAGCTCCAGCTTACCCAGGTACTCTGTGTCAGCCCTGTCCCATCCTGAAACAATGGGCCAGGCTGGGCAAGTCACTCATCTGCCCCAAACCCAGTCCCCAGGGGCTCCACCCTGGACTATTTTCAGCCCTCGGAGATGGAGTCAGAAAAGGATTTTCCACTCCCGGCACAATGGCTGCATTGCACCATTGTCCAGCAGTGATCGGGGGATATGCCTGCCCCAAAATATCTCCCCTGCCCTACCTCCTGGGCCTCCCCGCCTGCTCTTCCCCTCCCCGCCGGGACACTGCTTCCTGGGGCTGCGGACTGCTGGGGCCCACCAGGAGACAGCACGTGAGTTCCCTGGGAGACATGACCTCTTGGAATCAGTTTCCTCTCCTGGCAGGGACCCCAGGGGTTTTTGGCTGCTCGGAGGACTGGAGGCCCAGAAAGGGCTGTGCCTTGTCCAAGGTCACAGAGCGGTCAGCATGGAGACGACACGTGAGGCCAGGGTCCGCTGGCCGCTCCTGCTGCCTCGGCTGCCTGCGCCCCTGCCAGTCGGTGCCTCCCGAGAGTGAGAGCCCACGTTCAAGGCCGGGGCGGGCGTCCCGGAAAGAAGCCTGCATGACGT